TGGGGGCAGATGGACAGTCTGGGGGCGGTTGGTGGGGGCATATGGACAGTCTGGGGGAGGTTGGTGGGGGCAGATGGACAATCTGGGGGCGGTTGGTGGGGATGCATGCTTAACTCTGAGAATGTGACTGAAGTACACACTTGATAATGTTTGAAAAGGTGTGTTTTTGTGTTATACATGGTTTACCACGTTAGGAAATTAGTTTTAAAGTGGTTTGTTTTGCCTCTGGAATGAGCAGCTCTGCAGGACCTTGCTATATTCAGAACTTCACCAGGGGCTCGAGCTCCCATACCAATGTCACTTGCTCAGTGGATCTCATATTTATCCCTTCACTTCCTACATCACTTCCCACTCTCAGATGGTACTTTCTGAAATTTCTTCCAAAATAAACGACTGTGGTCATGGTTGGGATTGAAGGACTCTAACACAAACGTGGGGTAAAGTAAATTTACTTCCTCAAAATGATTTGTGGCACTGTTTTATTTTGATATAGTTATTTTTGTTTGACACAAGGTCTTGCTATGTATCCTCGATCGACTTGGAACTCATTTTATACTCAGAATGTCCTTGCATTCATAGAAATCCTACTGCCCCAGCCTTCCATGTGCTGTAATTACAGATGAATGTGCATCACAGTAGCCACCCAGGACAAAGGTTTAGAAAACGAAAAACCAGAGGACACTATGTATCGACTCTGCAATTGCAGCTGGCTTTTCCCTTAGAGAACAAATGATCACGTGGAGATCACGTCAGTGTCTTCATATGGACATCATAATTGAATGCAATTACATGTATAAATGTCTCAGCTAAGTGATGGAGATGATGATGAGGGTGATGATGATAGTGATGTTGGAGGTTGGGTAACAGTTCTTGGAGCACGCAAAATATAGAAAGCACCAAAGCTTCAGTCCTTCCACACTTGACAATGGCCCCTTCACTTCCATGAAGGAAAATTCCAGATCTTGATATCCTTTCCCTTGGTCTTAAGTGTGAATAAACTCACCTGAAGAAGTCATCTCTTCTGACCTTGACAATGCCAGCAGGATACTGAGAGCTGAAAGAGAAGGAGGAGGGAAGCAGTCTTACTGTGTTCCTCTGGGGCTCTGGCTGAGCTTGGGAATGCTGTGGGCTTTGGAGCCCCTATAAAAGACCCTTCTGTACTCATGCATACTTCACTCTATACTGGTCAGGACCAATCATGTGGAGCCTGAAAATACAGAAGAATCAGTAGTACATCTGATTGTACCAGTGTGTCTTAACTTCTGAAAACCCAACAGAAGATTCCGATGTTTCTCTTTGCTCACCATGTAGAAGCCAAATTTCCAGACTGTAATCTGTATTCAGTGGTCTCTCTTGCCAGTGCAGCTAACTGCACCCTGTCCAATCGATAGATAGCTGCTTTGTAGCAATTTCCTCTAAGATAAAACCTTCCATTTTGAAAGGAAGCTGAATAAACAACAGGATGATCTAAAGAAAGGGAAACAGCCGAGCACGGGGGCACACGCCTTTTAGTCCCAGCACTTGGGAGGCAGAGGCAGGCAGATCTCTGTGAGTTCGAGGTCAGCCTGTTCTACATAGTGAGTTCAAGCCAGCTGGGGCTACAGGGAGACCCTGTCTCAAAAAGACCAAAAAAGAAAAAGAAAGAAAAGGAGTCTAAAGGTCTAAAGGAAGGCAAAGAGCAGAATGTTTTGAGGGAAGGTGAAAGGTCCATCTTTGAGGGAAGCTTGTTAAACTCAGGAAGTAAACAACCAAATAGCTTCAGGAAGTCCCTGAAATTGACCAGGTTCCCTAGGCCCCTCCCTCCCCACGCTGTATATAAGCCCTAAGCATACAGAGAAATACTCTCAGGCCAGCTCAGCTGCCTGGAAAAGACACTCTCCAGCCTGCTGAGCTGCCTGCTGGTTGTGCTGTGTGTCTCAGGTTTTCTGCTTTGGTGAGCTATCACCCATGATGGGGTGGGGTTTGGTGATGCAACTGTCTTTAAGTCATGTCTCCTTCTGTAAGTAACCACTCATATTCCTCTAAGTAACCCCAATAACACTCATTTGTTAATCAAGTTGGATTTTGGTGATATCCTTTATTTGGTCTGTCGTTGGTTCTCTATCTGGGGTGAGTAGATGTTTGTTCATGTCTCCACAGGAATAGCACAACAATAGTAGAAATTGTAACACAAAGAGAAACAGATACATTGTGTGACTTTTCCTGTGGAGTGTATTTATATTCATCTTGGAAAGAGAAGGTAACAATTCAAAGAAATGATTCAACCCAAGTCAATCTTAGGGAATCACTGAGTTTAACTGTGGTTACTTACAGGAGCATGTGTGAGGTCTTACAGGCACGTGTGTGAGGTCTTACAGGCACATGCATGAGGTCTTACAGGAACATGCATGAGGTCTTACAGGAGCATGCATGAGGTCTTATAGGAGCATGCGTAAGGTCTTACAGGCGCATAGAAAACTGATGCTATCAAAGCATCTCTCTCCTAATATAGCAATTACTATTGTTTATATGTCCTTTGAGAGTCAGGGGGCCAGGTGTGCTTTTTGAACCCCCCTCCCTTTCAGAAGGAAATATTAGTGGGCCTAGTGATTGACAACTTTAAACAAGTGACTACATCTGTTCTGACTTAAAGATGGCAACATTCATGCCATGCCCTAGAACAGAGTTATACAGCAAGCTAAAGTTGATTTCAATGATAAATTCTTAACTCAAGAGAGTTAAGATATTATCATTACACCACAGAACCCTAGAAGCTCCCTTATGCAGCAGATGGTGATTAACACAGATACCCACAACTGGCCAACATGCAGAGAATAAGAGGCTTCAGAGTGCTTATCCTTGAATAGGACACGTATGTCAAACTTCTGCCTCCCAAGGCTCATAGATCATTGTGGAAGAGGGGGTGGAAAGATTGTAAGAGCCAGAGGTGGTGGGTGACCACAAGGAAACAGTTTTCTAGACATCTGAGCAGTTACTCATTTGAATTCACAGCAATGGTGACAGCACACCCAAGTCCCACTTAAGCTCATACCAGATAAAATTGCAGCATAGATGTGGGTAAGAAACCCCAACCCTACCTGAGAATGTATTGGCAACTACTGGCTTCTGGGAGGGGGAGAGCCAGTCTCATTTAAGGGTGAGAGTCTTTGTAGGTTGACCAGGCTCCAGTGGATGAACCCATATGGAAGAGCATTTGGGGACACAAGTTTGACTCTATCAGCCTTAATAACTACATAGGAATCATATCTATATCTATCTATATCTATATAGATATGGAGAGAGAGTAAGCGAGAGAGAACATGAAGTGGAGTGAGGGAAGTAATGGGGTGCAGATGGGAGAGGGGATGAAAATATATTGTATGAAATTCATAAAAGGGGCTGGACAGATGGTTCAGTGGTTAAGAACACTGGCTGTTCTTGCAGAAGACCCGGGTTCAAATCCCAACACCCACATGGCAGCTAACAACTGTCCATAACTCCAGTTCCAGGGGATCCAACAGCCTCTTGTGTCCTCCGCGGACATTGCATGACACAGGTGCACTTACCTACATGCAGGCAATACACGCATACACATAAAAAGTTTTACTCAGCAGTAAAGAAAGATGAAATCATGAAATTGGCAGGTAAATGGATTGGACTAGAAACTGTTATGCTAAGTGAAGTAACACAGACTCAGAAAAAAAATCGATATATGTTCTCCCTCATATATGGATCCTAGAACCGGACTCTGATAAATAAGTATGCAACCAGACATAACTACAGGAACCGGGATAATGGAAAGAAAACAGGGAGGTAAAGGAG